CGCGCTGGGTAATATGGCAACAACGTGCCGACAGCTTCAAGGAGCTTGAAACCCGCAATCTAGGCAAAAAATTCCTTGCTACCTCGCTTATTGGTAATGAGCAACAATAGTGCACGCCGTCGCTCTCGCACGTGCGGAGTCCAATTTTCGAAGCGCGTACGCATGCGTAATTCCTGAAACTAAACCCGCGCCATTAAACGTCGTCTGTTTTTATTGTTTCACGTCACACAATAACAATAATGGCTCATAACGACACTAATAGGATGTCATCGTACACACATAGTGACGCCTAAATTGCTTTTCCAGATAAATGACACGCCAGCTCGAGTCCGTTAGCAGGCTTGTGGATTTCTTTGGGTGGTTTTCTTCACTGCGCGACGCGCGCGTGGACGGTGTCTGACATACTCACACCTTTAATTAAAAAACTTTATTCCATGTTGGCTCTAGCGTTGATTTGCTAACCGTACGAGTTGATAACATCAATAATGTCAGGCACGTCGAAGGTGCGGGTAACGCAGTAAGATGACCGCCCGCGTCTATTACCTTTTCTTATTCATAATTGATAAATTGATTGATTGCTCAAAGATTAAGGGCGGTCGTGAGAACTGCGATTAACGTGGTTATACCTTTAGTTAGTGATACTGGTTCGTTAATCTTCGTGCTAATTGCTACTATTCAATCTTGTTTTTTCCCACCGACCATATTCCTGATCTTTACCACTACAATTACCCGGGCGCGGGCACATTAGGTGCTGCTTGAGAGTTTCGCAGCCGAACGGGTCACTGGTGAACACTCAGTTCAAAGGATGCCCGCATGATAATTTTGTTTAATGTAAACATTTCGTTCGCGGTACTTTTTCTCAAATGTATTCAATTTCAGCTATAAGATGTTATTATCAAAATATATAAGCAATCTCTCTCCCTCTTATTTGCAAAAGTTTCATAAAAACACTGCAAAAAATACCTTTTGCGTGCTAATAGAGAGACTTAATTATATGGATATATACAACTGTATGTAACACCTAATAACCGGACATTATCTCCTATTCCCGTCAGGATTTCTATATTCATGCAAATCTGATGCCCTCGACATTTTTTTGGTTTATAAGTATTATAATATGAACAATGCGTTTAATAGGTTTATCACATTGTCTCCTTCAAAAATGCTTATCAGCGAAAAAATCAAAGCTCAGTCAAAAATAAGAATCACCCCGAGGGATGTAATTTTGCCTGTAGTTACGGAAGTACAGCGCAGTGGGTATGACGTTTGATGCCGTTCAACGGAATGTATCTTTAAAGTTGATTAAGGATTTCATTAAGCTAACTTCACCTTTACCGGGCATATGATTAAGCTGATTTAATGATGCAATAAACTAGCATTTCTCAACAGTAATGCTTATTGCTTAAATCTCCGACTCTTTTGTTTAAAGGGGAATTCCGTTTCTCTTTGTTTCATATCGTTTATATTTGGCAACAAAATCAAACAACATCACAGACTAAGAGTCTACAGTTCAGTATTCTGTATAGCACCCGTATGACTGGCCTATCTTGCAATTACTCTACGGAAGGTTTTGCACCAATCAAAATGAATCCGGATAACTGGTTATGTAGACCGGGGGGGGGGGGGGGATGAAGGGGAAGGGGGGGCTCTGTTTAGGTGACTCTCTCCCGTCATAGCCAGGCTACGAATTTGGCAATCTCTCAAATGGGCATGATACAGAAAACTGCTCCAAATTTTTTTTTAAGTTTTTTTCTCTCAAGACACAAAAACAAGAAGGCGAAAGCGGAGTTAAAAACACAGGGAACTAAAATGAAGTGGGAGGACAGGATTTGCCCATAATGTGCTAATATTTATGTCCTTGCTAGAGAAACTGTGAAACACGAACAAATATTTTGCATTTCACCGCATTTTATTAGCAATTCGGAAATTCATAACATCGTCTTCAAACGGGAACATCTAATTACAAGTGAAAGGTGCAAGGGGTCGTTCATAAAATTGCCCAAAAAATAATCTTCTTGTCTCCCTCAGATTGCTTTGATAATAAATACTATTACGTCAAATGATGAAAAATACAAAGTACAAAAATATATACAAAACAAAATTTCAAATACTGTTTACCACGCTCCATAGCAGGATGGTAACTTGACTTTGTGAAATATGACAAAATGTATGTCTTGATATTTTCAGCAAAGACAGCTTGTAACCAACTACATGAACTAGTGCCTTTCAGTCGTGCCCTGTGAGATGATATACTGGTACATTAGGGCTTCAAACTAATCGTAATTAGCATCTTTTATTTCATTTGGTCACCTGTGTAAAAAAAATATTACAACCGAATTATTCAAAACATAGTCGTCGAAGGGGGGCCATAGAGCCTATTTATTAGGTATTCTGATTTTGAGAGGTATTGGCATAATCGTTGTTCCGCCATTAAAGCTGCAAAATATACAGAAATCAACAAAAAAAATGGAGAATAGTCCAGGTGTGATAAATATTGAAATATTTTGAAATCAAGCGAATTAGGCCATGAGCCTTAAAACTGACCCAAGCTCGAATCGTCCACTCTACAGCCGCAAGGTGTTGAAAGTATAATATACCTTAATTACTTATATTTCCAAACTTAAAACATTTGAAAATACTGCTCATCCTCCATTCATGTAGCAACAACTGTGTTAATTCACAGTCTCTAAAGTACCATTTAAAGATTCTTGTCAAACGAATACAAATTATTGCCGCTAAAACCCCACCAAAAATGCTACTATACACATGTACTTTCAATAAGGATAACTTAAGACATACCACAAAATTTAGTTACATTATTTCCCAAAATTGTTATGAGGACATAAACTATCTGCATACCTTCTGTTTTTTACGGTCTGGAAAAGAAATAAACAGCTTAAGTTTATTACCAGAAAATTTAAGAAGGTGCAGTTATTAATCATTTTCTGCTGTCCCAGAGATTAATTTTGGCTATATGTTTCGTGTAGAAAAAAATTGGCACCTAATAATCCATATACTTTACAGGACAGTTACTCCCACTTCATAATGTATCTTCAAAAACGGTCCCCATATGCACAAATGTATCTCATTAAAGAGGGCGGACGGAGCTCAGCGTAGTATAGAAATAGTTATCTAATTATAAAGTCATGTCTTAGACCCCATTTCCAGAGATTAGATCGATCTACTTTAGATCGACCTAACTCCCTGGGGGTTCACGCTAAATAGCTGTCAGCCGGGCGGACACGAAAATTAATTACCCCCTTACAGCTTGTAGTAGGCGGGACGGACATTTAAGCCCGATTATCTGACAGTAATCTAGTGAGACTCCCCGCGGGGATAGATCGATCTAAAAGCTCTGGGAATACAGCCTTATAATCTCTTTTTCCACATGGGAACCCACGTTTTAAAAGCTAAGTCATAATTTAAAACTAAGCTGTTGTGCTAACGGTATACTGATAGTAAAGTAACTTACACAATAACGATATTATCGACAATGGATAAATGAGCAATAATAAGATAACAATATAAAGAAAAATATATGGAATACATTAACTTATATTTTCATACTTCGAAAGAGCTCAGTTTTTTCAATATGGCACTAGAGATAAACCTAATGTCTTGATACTTAGTGTTTTGTAAAAGGCCACAGAATGATGATACCTAGTGACTGCCATCTATAGATTTGGATTTAATTAAGTAAGCGAGTCACGTGATCTGAACATTGATTTTCATGTTAAATTGCAATGTCCTCCATACATAACCAATAACAGCCGTTTTGATATATATATATTATGAATAACAGGTGCCATAGTGATCAAACGATCAAGAAGTTGATTAACGAATTAAGGGACTCATAAATAGATTACAAACAAATATGAAGTTACCATGCTTTTTCTGAAATGCTTAAAAACATACGGTTGTGGGTGCTTGAACTAAATTTGCATCAATTCGTTGTTCCACACAAACAAACGTTAACGTGCATGTATACAATATCGTTAGTGGACACACAAGTAGCATTTCGTGGTCTTCTGAGCAAATTGCTTCTCTCGACCAGTAGCCCTTTTATCCGTTACAAAAACCACCAATTCTGTAACTGCTACATGTAGAACAACTAGAAGGGCCACTGGTTGGGAGAAACGATTTGCTATGTTTAGGCTAGCATATTTTGTAATGTTCAAAACTGCTTTATTGGCAGTTTTCTTTTCATTTCAATATAATTTCATTATGACGTTGATTTTATGTTTGTGTCTCCTTACGGCTCCATCAAATCAAAACAAATAGATTTTTTTCGCAGAAGACTTCAAATAAGCTTTGTTAGTCTTTAATTTATTGTATTATTTTGTCACTTCAAAGTTTTTTCAGAAGCTTTGAAACATGCATTACAAATTACTTTTAGTAAATGGCAAGAAGACAACAACAACAACAAGCCAAGTCTGGTCTCTCTAAAACATCAGTGGTTGAAACTAAATCTGAATTCCATATTCTGAAAAAAACTTTTGCCGCCAACAGGTCAAAATTATAATAATATATCCCATCTGATTGAAATGAGATCCAATTGAATTCACATCTCTTTGTTAGTTCTATGTTATATTAATCCCCAGATTTTTTCAATCCAAAAGATATATGAAAAATCAAAGTGTTGTAGCTTGTAACAAAGAGGAAAAAATGAAACTTCAAATACATTGTGGTCTCAGCAAAATAATTTCTTGATTAACTATATGAAATAAAAATTACCTAACTGGTTGGTAGACACATTTGATTATATCTCTTTGATGCCATTGATTAATTATTTAACTTATGTTTATAAGGTTTTTTCCTCAGCATATTCAACACACATTTTGAAGCTTTCCGGATTAAAGTCTCGTTCTCGGCAACCACATTCAACGTGATGCTAATGCTACTAGTATCAAAAAGAAACCTGGGCTTGACAAATTAGGGAATCATATATGGACAAAAAAAATAAAAATGGCGCCATCTATTTCTATGTCTAAATACCCATTATTCCCATTGATGAAATGGCGATGTTGAGGCTAATGTGACGTCATTTAAAACGTCTACGCTAGCCACCATATTAGCATCTGTGACCGGCACACGCCAACTATAGCTAAGTCAGCAACGTCAACGCTGCTTTAATCTAACTTCTCATACCTGAATCTAATTAACTCTAAATAGTCAACATACGTTTACAAGCTATATATGTATATTCATATCGTTTTCAAACACAAAAATGTCTTGCAAATTACTTTACCTTGCAGCTTTTCCCTACTGGAAAACTCAAAACGCAGGTCCTATTTCAATACACGCATCTCAAGTTCTCATTGCACTTTTAAAGGTTTGAATTATGATGACAATAAATAATTGCACATGTCCCTCTTTGTCGCTGTTTTCCTAAAACAGGAATCCATACAAGCAGAATTTTGTAAATTAACCATGATATTTCCTCTTCCAAAAGAAGACGCGTTTGTTTCGGACACATATAAGGCTATGCCATAATATAAGTACATGTTCTTTACTACAAAAGAGGCGTTTTTGAATATTACGTCAGCAGCACGCTCTCTCTCTCGGCACGTGGAGGTTCGATTGCACTTGTGTCTGTATTAAAATATAACCATTCACAAATAACGAGATTCTTTGGAATGTTTTGATTTCTTCAATCACAGTTTTGATAGTGTTCTTTCTTATGATAAGTAATGTTTTATTAAATTATAGATGACGAAGTTTAGAGTTAAGAATAATAAGAGCCCAAATGTGACGTCATATGACCAGGATGATGAGTCATCGCGTGGTGATTGGACAGATTCGTGTAGCCCCCGCTTGGCCAATAGGACGAGTGAGAAAAGAAACCGGATGCTGCTGCTGAACTTGAGATTGGGCCATGTGCATTCATGAAGTTTAGTTTCGAATTCGCATAGCTTGACATGAACAGATCTTGCTGATATTTGAAGGCAGAGGTTGGGTCTGCGGTAGCCGGCTGCATAGCTTGAGCTAGCCCGGCAAAATCGAACTTGTACGCGTAACGTTTCCCGTGGACTTTTGTCATGATGTTCTTGTCGTAATAGTAGCGTAGAGCTCGGCTCAGCTTGTCGTAGTTCATGTTTGGTTTGCTCTTGCGTTCTCCCCAGCGTCTAGCCACCTCGTCGGGATCGGAGAGCTTGAATTCCCCGTTGGTGCCCTCCCATTGTATGCAGTTTGAGTTGCCACTGTCAGAGAGAAGCTCCAAAAGAAATTGCCACAACTGGATCTGGCCACTTCCTAAAATAGAAGAAAAATGAAAATTTTGTCAAGATTGTTAATTAATTAATTTTTCACTTAAAAATTGATTTGAAAAATAAAATGGTGAGATCATGGAAGAACAGTCAATAGTCTATTCATAGATATGGAGAGAAAAAGCAAAAACGAATGAATGAATGAAAGAAGTACATGTAACATAGAGAGCGGTCAATCATGGCGCAAAGGAATACCGTGTAAGAATATGAGAAACTAGAAAAATTCTTTTTCTCCATCTTTGTTTTCATTCGACCAAATGTTTTTGTCTTTCTCATTTATGCATGCATGTACTTGATCTACTTATTTCACAACTGTTTCTGTGACTCTGCGACTGTGTAGGCACAAGTAGGCGCACGCACTACATGTAGTACGTGTCATAATGCTTCCGTTTGTCTGCGTGCGTGTTCGTCCCGCTTTCCGTTCTCTGTGTTAGAGATGCCAAAGTTGTCGTCAACATGGCGTGTACAAGTCGTCTTCATGGTGAGAACGGATCTCACAACGGACCTGCGATTTCATCGCCGTACACTATCGAATACAACCATGTCTATACCCACGGGAGAATCAAAAGCGACAAGGCTTGGGCAAAATGTTGAAATAGAGCTTGAGACAGCAGCTTTTGCAGAAACAAACAGTTCACTATGGTTTAATTGCTGATTTAAAGAAATGGCACTGAGATTTTTCTAACGAATGAACTTGGGACTTTCTTGCACAGAATATGCGAAAAAAACTCTAGTGTGGGTTTTTTTCTCCGGGGGTTGGGGAGGGGGGTTGCACTAGACAGGCTGTCAATACACAGAACGTAGCCGCACGGTCTCACTAAGTGGCAAAGGTACATGTACCGCCCATACATGTACAAAACATCCTTACGGCCTACAATAAAACGCTTCTGCCACTTTTGCGATAAAACAGGGGTTGAACTACACTTAACCTGCAACTGTGATCATTATCAACAGAAGACCTGACAGCTCTTTTCTAAAGCTGATGCTAGCGTTCTTAGATGGATGTGAATTCTGCTTACTGTGTTCTACTTAACATGTGTAATTATGTTCCAGTATGCTCTTCGAGTAAAAATTGTGCTTGTAAAAGAACTATAATGAGCTTCTAGTTACATCCCGTTTTCAGCTGATTATATATAATCACGGTTGCTGTGATTTATTGAGTTACAATGAAATTGTTCCATCCACGTTTACAGCAGTAATGAAATATTTTACGCACACACACACACACACACACACACTTATTATCATCATTATTATTTGGATTTTTAATCATGAAACCAATTGTATTGTGGAATGTCAAAACAGATTTTAGAATAAAATGAAAAGAGATAAGCATCCTTATTGATAAGGATTTTATTTGAAAAAGAGAATAAAATTATTTGTAAGTTTTTCTGAAATCTTGAGTAGAAGTCTTTCTCATTTTCATGTCATGTTTACAAAATACTGGCTATGCAGATATATTTCTGTGCCATTGAATGGTTCAATTGATGGGCGTAATTAAAAAGAGGCAAAATCGTTGGAGATTTGTTATTTTAGTACTCAGTACATTAGTCAAGATCGAACTCCAAAATCCCTGACACGGAGGTGCTTAAGTCGCTCCATTGAATCCCCTATGGTTAATTTGTCTGAACCCTCGTTAAATTACGTCCTCTTTGTACCTGCGCACGTGCCACGCGGAACAATGCGCTGCCACGCGCCGGTACAGAGGGAATATATTCAATGAAAACAACTTGGGTGGAAATCGGGTCGACTGAAAAACATCCCGAAGGGAGTGGTTAGTTCTACTTCGAAACCAGAGTAAAGGAGTTGGTCCACCTGCCTAAGTGACACTCATGTGCCATTGACTCGCACGCCCACCTGTGATTACATATTTAACACTTACAACCCTCCCCGTGGTCTGTGACAAACAATGCGCACTGGTGATCCTTGTATTTTGACAAATAACATTAAGACGCAAAAGTGTCCAAGCATGTTATAAACTGTCCAGTTCAGGTTCGTAACAATAGTGAACTCATACTAATACAGGTCAATGAAAGTGGCTAATAACCCGCTGCTGGCGTATATTGAGGCATTGTTGTCTTAATTGCCGTTGTAATGAGGATTAGCCCAATGGCAGGTGATGGGATTTGTGTACATGCACCGCGTATTTTGCCAGGTACGACTACAATACTTTAATTAACGTCCATTTGTTTGTTTTGTACAGTATCCGAATATGAAATCTGCACCTACGATTTCATTTCTTTGAGTTGCATGCAGGAGTGCAATACATGTAAAATGGATTCACTAACAGTTACAATTATCATTTTTTTATTTCCTCAATTACAAATGCTACCATGATATATGTTCACAGTTTTTTCATTCTTCTTTTTTCATTTTTTATTTTTAATTGAAATGCTTTATCATTATTTTTAAGGATTAGCCCATGACGATAAAAGTATTACAAATTGGAAGTATACCTTATCTTTGAATATACAATTTGAAAAGCAGGTACCTGGTTTCAAACAGACTTACTATGAATTATTTTTTATCTTTACTACCATTTCTTACTGAGGATCTGGTATTGATAGAGAATGATGGTTTACATTTGCGTGGAACGTAAGTCTTCAAATCTACTTTACCAATAACAACACCAAGAATAATCTGATTTTTATATAGCAAACATGACAATTATCGTCCTATCAAATATTGAATATATTTTGACTTACGTGTCACCGTTCTCTTTATTAAATATTTATTTATTATGTGCCGAACAAAGTAGAAAACATGAGTCATTATATTGTCGTACTGTTCACTTTTATTCATTTTATTGGATAAAATGTGTTATCAGAGTACTTATTGTGAAATAATCAAGTGATAATTGATATGTATTGAAAACAAGTATATGTTTAATAGGTTAGTTAGCTTGTAAATATCATTGTAGTATATTTTTGCATTTAGTCCATATTATTATTATTATTATTATAAATCTCTTTCTATGTCATTAAACCACAAAAAGTTAAAGCGATAAAAAGATTAAAATTGATCTTTAACATTAGTATGTGATTTCAATTTCAAATCTATTTTAATGATTTTAATCCATTCTAAAAAAAGTTAAGTTTAATTTTAGGAATAGGTTTAAGTGTCATTTTAACAACATTTCACCTTTTACCTTAAAATGAGTATAGAAGTCGGCTTCAACTAAGGGTAATGTAAACAAGATTTTATTACGAAAATCGGCATAGTTGACCACAAGTCAATGGGCTATAATTTTGATCCATTCTATGAAAGTTAATTTTAGGAATAGGTTTAAGTGTTATCTTAATAACACACGCGTTTTAACGCAAACACTAGACTTGTTTTCATGAACTGTTAAATCTCACTATATATGCGTTGGTTGCAATTAAGTACCATACACATTTCACCTTTTACCTTAAAATGAGTATAGGGGGGGGGGGGTTCAACTAAGGGTATTGTAAACAAGATTTTATTACGAAAATCGGCATAGTTGACCACAAGTCAATGGGCTACAATTCTGTGCTGTCATTTTGGTTATGTTATGGAGTTATGAGCCCCTAATTACAATATTTTCATTAAACAAAGGTATTATTTTGCCTTACCATCGATAAAATCTGAACTTAGGCTTTTCAGAAAAATCGCTGATAGGGTTTTTAAGTACTAAATCGTATCATTAAATTGGCGTTAAAACGGTGTTCGTGGGTGCTCAGGTCATGGAAGTATATGTACATGTATATACTTCATGCTCAGGTAAAGGAGAAATTTGGGAAACCGATTTTTCATTTCTACCCCAAAATCGCAATTATGACGTCACCTGTAAGATGACATGTTAATTAATTTTAACATGTTAATTAATTTAGTCACTGTACACTGAAAATTTATCTTTCACCCAAAAGAATGTATGTAAGGCAGTAAATAGGGAGATTTTGGCAAAGGCTAGCAATATCCTTAAGCTTCTTCTTCTTGTATTTAGGACAAGAATAGTTTCACTTTTAAAAGAACTCGGCTCAATGTGTAAAAATGGGATTGGATATGTTTCGCACATATGATAATGACATTATCTCAAAAAAGCGGGAAGAATCTTCTAAATGTAGTGCAAGTATAATCTTGCATTTATACATAACATATTTAAGGCAAATATCTTAAGAAACAAGAAAGAAAGAAATTATAGGGTGGCTTGCAACGGGGTTATTATTATTGCACCAGACACATAAAAGCTTCCAGAGGGAAATGATGTCTTGACAGAATAGGTTGGATTCTGAACAACCTAGTGACGTCATACAAAAAGAAATTTAGCCTATAACTCAGGACACGGCTGACTAGTTACTAAATCCTTTACATCAACCGTGAGATGCACGTGTCAAATATAATCAAATAGGCTTAATAGAAATACAATATAACTCGTCTCGACTGGACAGAAAAATGGTATCTCGTTTGATTGCAAGAACGCTGTGAAGGGTTGATAAAAAATCACTCAGTATTAATGATTTCAAGATTGTAAAAAATGGAAAAACGACGCGGCTTTTACGTACAAGATATATTGGAAGATATTTTGTAGATGAATATTAAAAGAAACCAAGAACGCCAAGTAAGAAATTAATCAATTAATGAAATGATGACTAATGTATTGATAAACAAATACATGGATAATTACCAAATACACTATAGCAAATGAATAATTAAATGAATTTGAAAAAAAAAAACCACTAATATTTTTATAATAACGCTCAGAACCTTTGAAGAAATTCCTATCGCATTAATGCTTATCTAAAAAAATCAAATTATTTAGAAGAAATTGAAAAGCTTTAAAAAATATCGTGACAAAGTTAACACATGTGCGCAAGGAGAGGGGGGGGGATCTGGTCAGTAATCACAACACCGAAGAAACTTCACGTAACATACAAATCAAAGCAGCATAATAGTACTTGTCTATCGAATTGGCCTGTAAAAACTCTCACCGACAATTTATATCCAAAGCGTTGAAGACAAAGAAAATATTTCATCCGTTTGAAAACAATAGTCTGATATGTTGAAGTCGATACAAAAACATTTATTTCGTGAATATATTCTCCTAAAATGTGAAGGACAAAGCAAATATTTTCTAACTCACCAGGCGTCGAAAGTCTCCCGCTGGTCGGGGCAAAAATATGATAGGGATCTGAAATTGATGATTAAGACCATTAAGTTGNAGAGGGTGAAAGGGAGAGAGAGAGAGAGAGAGAGAGAGAGAGAGGGGGAGAGGGGGGGTGACTCACCCTGAGGTCGCCATTGGGGAGGAGAAACATCCATGGCGGGTGGCTTCGTCATGCAAGATAGCGGATTGGGAGTCGGATACGGCGCTGGAAATGAATTATAACCTACATTATCATGAATACAAAACACAGAGAGCACAACAAACGGTTTTATGAATAATTCAATAAATTGTTATGGAATATCCGTCATTATGTGGCTATATCATTAAGTATGCTCAGAGAATCCATTAATCTAAACAATATGTAATGTAATTACTAAAAAAAACATTGCGTACGTTTAATTTTAATCTATGATTCAATCATTTTAGATTTAATAATTTTGTGTGTATAAATTTAATCATAAAAGCAAGCCCCTCCCCACCACCGCCACCATTTATTTGCTATCACTTCCTTGGCCAAAACCAAAAATGACAGTAAATAAAAACGGATTCAGCAAACTTCTTTTTTAATCAATGTTCGGGAGGTTTTATATACGTCAACTTGTATTCTCAGCACTACACCAAATATAGCCTGCTGGTTAACAACGACCAGCAAAGTACACCAAAAAGCACGTTTTTCAGATGGCCGCACATGTTACTTCGTCACCGCGTTCCACGTCTGAGTGGAGACTCATGCTAAACGCTAACAGATCAATAACAATGCTAAAAGAGTTTCATGGAAATATTAGGAACAGAAACTAAGGGGCAATTGAGCGCTAGAGTGAAAATGCATCAAGTTAATCAACAATTCCGATGAGTCTTAAAGTGAGTCAAAGTTCCCGGGGTTTCGTCTTATTTTATTAACCTCTGCATTTATAGGAATATAGTGCAGACGATCTCTGATCATACTGTTGAATCGTCTGCGTGTACTAAGACCCTGACCTTTCAACAATATAAATCTGCCGGAAATCTGGCACTGAAATAATATTTTACAAAGTTTTCCTGTTAGGGCTATCTTCTTTATTTTTAGCCTTCACTGCTGTATTACATGTATTCCAAAAGAAAGAGTTTTCCAAATAAATTTTAACTGGCTCGTCCTACCAGACGACGGCATGACTTAATTTGGTGGGAAGTGTCCTTGGGGCAATAGCGCTTGACTTAACGACCCGCGTTCCACTTAAATTTCATATTTGATAGTAATAATCCTTATCGATTTAAAATGTATGTGGTATTCATGCTTTTCATTTTTAGATGAACGTAGATAATAGTTCAGATTAGTAAATTTAAAAACAATTAACTGACAGAAAATTCACTCACACGTTCGAATGCTATTTATTTTTTTATTTATTTATTTATTTATCATTTTCCTCATTTATCTTTTTAACTTTGAATGAGTGTCTGACTTGATTTATAAATTCCTGACCTCAGCTTTACAATAAATTCTTCTCGTGTAGAAGCACTTCAACTAGAATAAATATATAATCAACCTTTCCTAGATTTTCGGGGTCTCATCAAATATCAAAAAAGAAAGAAAGAGATATGAGCAATAAAAAAAAAGAATTCGATCTTTTAGATATCTTTCGACTATGAAATGGGGTGAGACCCTGAAAATGAAAAACATTAATAAGAATAAAATGATTTTTGTGATCTTTCAACGGATATATCTTTAAAACAAAAGGATTTCTTGTCCGGGATAGAGATTCGGACGACATCGCCACAGTGCTAATCACGAAAAACTTAACAAAGAAACCTTAAATATCAGCACCGAAGAAATGGCATATTGAAATGCGGCATTGTCTATAGAATGTTAGAACGTTCACAAAAAAAGTATATGTATTCAATTCAAATCAAGAAAGAACACCAGACATCAGCATGCCCTATAGCCAAAAATTAGAAACCTTGAGGATAATTTAATAATGAACACTTATTGAAGTCCGGAAGTGCCCTATATATATATATATATATATATATATATATATATATATATATATATATATATATATATATTGCTTAACCCTCTATTCCCCAGGTCTCTGTACGCGTTTTCTTTACGCTTTTTTGCTACACGGATTGAATGAAAATTCAAAATATTAAGCAACTACTTCTAGTACAGGCATGTGTCAATTGTTAAGTTAAGAGAAATTTCCTCATCTGAGTACACAGTGGAGATAACAGCAACGCGTCAAACAGAATTGCGAAGAAACGCCGGGAAAGGGTACTTTGAAAATGAACGTTTTCCTTCCGGTCCCCAGCCTTCCCCAATTTCGCCAAATTGGCCTTTACTGCAGCTAATCACGGCTCCTCATTAGGCTGATCAAGACGACGAATGGAATTGTTATCGATTGTTTCCTATCGCATGTCCGTTCTTTAACTCTGACAGCATGGTGTCGGTAAGCAGGGCTCTTTCACACACAACAACTTAGGATCAATAGAAAAAATATCTGAAATCAAGGTCCTGGGAAAATCTGATTTCAGCTTGGCCTTTGTTTCCTTTGACGCAAAAGGTCGAAGTTGGTCTATATGCATTCGGTAGCTTTGATACGTTATGTATATGCTAACATGGTTTACTCCGTCCGATGCCATCAAGCTATGACTTATTGCGGTTATTTGTTTATGTGTGTGTGTGTGTGTGCGTGTGTGTGTGTGTGTGTGAGAGAGAGAGAGAGAGAGGGTGATACTTGAACATAATCTGTCTAATCAGGCGGAAAGACACGCATGAGAAGACAAAAAAATAGGCTTCAATTGCTAAATAAACCCTTCTGAAAGAAATGAGAGCAAATATTCTTTTGGAATGACTTTTAGCTAAAATAAAAAAGACAATAGAAATTGCCTTATATGGTACCAAATACCCTAAATGGTCACAAAAATGCTCACCTTGAGTCTGTGAGGAGCTGGGAGGTGTCCAGGGCGCTTTTCCGTAAGACGGATCTGTAAATTAAGGAATTAAATTTTAGTTGATAAAGAAATAATCAAATCTCTCTCTCTCTCTCTCTCTCTCTCTCTCTCTCTCTCTCACACACACACACACACACACACACACACACAAAGACATTTATTATATACAGCGGAAAGGGTAAAACCACAAAATGTACAGAACCATACAAGACTGTTACACAGAAAAAAACACGGGTTAAAGACTTGTTGCTACTGGAGATAGTGTATAAAATAAGATGGACCTTTCCTATCTTACTCTGGTAAGGAACATGAACAGTTAAGGTCTTGTTACTTTTGGAGATAATGTATAAAATAACACGGGACTTTCACATCTAACACTTCTCAAAGGAACATGCATACATGTAGTAACACAACTAACACAAATCTTTTCTATCTAATGCTGATAAAAACTAATAAGAATCTTTACTATGATTTAATTTTAGTTGCTATTTTAACATTATATATATGTATATTATAATAACCCTCAGTGAGTCAAGCGCATTTGTTAAAAATGCAAATGACAAATACCATTTTGTAACAAATAATGTAATAGAATGGTGATATATGCTAGGCTATGATTACATACACAATGTTGCTAGAACTAAACGTCGAACATTAAAGACTGCGTGAGGGGTAGTAAAACCTAGTGAAAGGTAATCATGTAGATTTGAAAGGATAAAAAACTGTAATTTTTCTTAGATGTGCTGAAAATTTAACAACTGAAATATTTGACCCAGGTTGCCGAATAATGAAAAGAGAGTGATAAACTGCAGTGGGGACACTGAGCGTCTTACAGATAGAAATCGTTATACAAAATTATTAAAACATACATGGAGAAACTATTCCGTTTGCATAAAGTGTCAAATAACAATTTATACGAAAACAGCAGTCTTATAACAGCCAACTATCCTAAGGCTATTACCCACACACCCATCCCCTGGGGTTGATACCCACACACCCATCCTCTGGGATTAAAACTCACATACTTATCCCCTGGGATAAATACCCACTTTCCCATCTCCTGGGGTTGATACCCACACACCCATCCCCTGGGGTTAATACCCACAAGCCCACACCCTGGGGTTAATACCCATACACCCATTCCCTGGGGTTAATACCCACACGCCCATACCCTGAGGTTAATACCCATACACCCTTTCCCTAGGGTTGATAATATAATATGGGACTAGAACATTTCTGACTTGATTTGCTACAACTCTTCATACTGCAGTTATAGTTATACAAAATCATGCTACTTTAGTGTGATTAATAAGTGTAAAACTTCAGTGCGTTTAACAAGTGAACTTCAGGGCCATGATTATCACAAGCTCATTACTGGCCATTGTTTCGTCTATGTCGGGAATAAAGTCTCGTTTAATACTCTTTTCCCACTATATATTAATTGCGGCAATTCATTTGCAGTTTGATAACTGCGTCGAATGCAAAGTGATAGACTTTAACTGTTTTTAACGAGCTTCCTCAATCAGCGGTTCCCGCTAACCAGAAATCCTGAACGTGTAAGCCTGCGGTACCCTTTGCTTATTACGTTCATATAGTAGATTTCATTAGTAAATGAAGATTGGGTTTAATTGTGGACACGAAATGATCCATAGTTTCACTGGCAACACACACCTTCTTCCAGGATTTATTGGCTTTATATTCTGACATTATATAATTACAAGGTCTCGATATTTTATGCTAAGCAGGAAGTTTCAGAGAAGCCGTTTTGATTTTCTGAGGTACTTGTTAATGTTTTCATCCTTGTAATTAAGATATTTGTAATAACTGAGGCAGCTATACCTGTTGCTGTAGCCGCACTAAAGCTGGAGAGAGCACGATGTTAGCACCACATTGTGGTGATTCAACACCAATGCCAAGACTACGGTCCCTCAATACAAACTCCGCGCGTAGCAAAGCTGTATAGTTCTTATCCAAGAGCAAAACGAATTCTTGATGACCACATTGAAACTTATCAGACTTTTTTATGTAGCTTTTAACCTGATTTTTACTCTGGGAAATTGGTCGAGAGATCACAGAAATTTTCATTTTATACTTGTATGAATATGATAAAAATAAATAATTATCTTTTTGTCTTATCTTGAAGTTAAAAAGAAAGTGAAACTGATAATTAAAAAAAAATTATTTTAGATAAAATTACATTATTTGTTTCAATGAAGTATCACACAAAAAAGTTATTAACATTTACATTTTGTAACTTGTATATCATATGATAAAGACGCACGTGTCAAAAATGACTGCCGATTATAAACAGGCCACGGAAGGTACAAACCTTGACATTTAAAAACGTCAGTTTGTGATTTTAACAAAATGCAAAACTGCAGAAGAAATTGATCACTAGCAGCTTTTCTTTGTCATGTATACAATTGTATTTATTTACTTATTTAAAATGTCTCAATTAAAGGTATCTTTAATCTCTCAATAAAATCAACCACTTGATAGAAAATGTCAAATTACTCAAAATTGGTAAATAACTAGATGACAGGCATTACGTTTTCAGTGGAATCCTGGAATAGTGTGAATAACAAATGTCTCCTCTTCAATTTTATTGTCTAAGGACGAGCTTTAGTAATCTTCAGTAATAGTTGGCAGAATGATGTTTGCATATTTTATTTACATTACAACCCGCGAGGCGGCATGGCGGAAAATTAAGTGCTTGTGATATAAGCAAAAATGATCTATTTTAGTTGGCTTTTTTTTCTCTCGTTCATTTTACTCACAAAATCACCCGAGTTGTTGGCTTGGGTACTTTCGTTAATCATAATCATTCGTTAACAATCGCAAAATGTAATAAAATCATTAGCTAGATTCGTTTTACTTAAAAGATGCTACGTTTGATTTATATTCACATTTCGGACTAACACAACGAACGGCTCAATTTGTATATATGACAGAGACTTGTCAGGTGTATTTTATGCAGCAAGATAATTTACTTCATGGTTAAAAGGAAACGACATTTCTTACCAGAAATATCTGACAGATAGATAGACAAATATATTTTGATCGCCTTTTTACAAAAGTTAATTTCTTTATGAAATAAAAATAAAAAAATATAAATCAACAAAAATCCACTTGCATGTATAATAGTCATAAATATAACAATAGATATCGTCTTCAACCATATATATATATAACCTTCAAAGACATAAAGAAATTTTTCATTTACCTGGAAACATCATTCCTGGCAGGCCACTGAAGGTACAGGCTCGGTAGTAATCCTCTCGCTTCTGAATTCCCTGCATGTTAGCGGCAACAAAATAGTCGTCGCGTTTTTGAATGCCCTGCATTTTAAATTGTCGTCAGCTGTCAGCGTTTCTTTCAGACTCTGCCGTTCGCTTACGAATGTCAGAGTGCGCAGGGTAATTTGTTCCTCTTGTGGAGCGATTACGGTCAGCCGAGCAACTTACAAAACACACGTTTGACACTCGTAGAAAAGTCGCTCATTTTTGTAAGAGCGCTGAGAATGCAGGCGGTATTCTTCGTGACGTCACTGACCCGGCGTGCTTTCAGCAGGGTTTTGTCCTGGCATTAACTAGTAAACGCCCCGACAGACGGTGAATTCGTTCAGTACGGCAGCACACAGTTAGCTAGTGAGGAATCTAAGAGGTGGACGGTGGGCAGCGGCGGCACGCAGCCGTCCTTAGCAAGAGATTGTAAAAATGATTGTAAAAATGGCGCAATAGTCGGGGAGGGGGGGGGGGGGGGAGGGGAGGTCTATTGAACCGATCTGTTTCTGGGTAAAGATCCAATCTGAATCAAAACTTGATCTAGGTTTTATGCAATTAAAAGTAAAACCAAGGTAAAAAAAGTCCACTTTTTCAAAGGAAAAAATTAATTTTTCGCAACAGACCTGTCTAGTATTACTCTAAGAAAAGGCTTTTAAAACTGATATTTGTAATGATAGAAATCACTGTCACAAGAACAATTTTCTCTCCAAACTTCAATCTTTTTTTTAAATAAATAATACTAATTTTCAAAACCATGGCAAAATCAGAATCAGCTTTTCAACTTGGGCGAAAGAAAAATGTCACACAGAGCAAAATTTAGTGAATGAGGCGATTGCTCCCGTACGGTCATGTGTCACATGATGTGTGTATTCAAATGTTCTTGTTGTGGCTTTTCCCCAAGCTCAAAGAGGTTATAAAGGGGGGGGGGGGGGTGAAATCTTGCAAGCTACCAAGAATATCCTTCCAGCAGTGCATAGACACCTACATACCTTAAATTCAGGTAACAATTGTATATTCTACATATAACTACACACACACACACACACACACACACACACTATTTTCTGTGAACTAATTATAGTGTGTTTCAAGAATAACTGCTGAAATTACTGCAAATGTTTTAAGAATCCTTTAATATTGTCTAACTACTTGCCATTCAAAAGGCCGTAAGTTACCGGGTGCAAATCCGTGGACTAATTTGCTAGTTAATTAACCTCTACAATTTCTCCTTCAAATGAACTGACATAGCCTGGTGTAAATCTTTCCAAAGTAATATTTAAAGCTCTTAGTGAACTCACGGACAGTGGGGATATTCACATCATCGTTTACCTTTCCTGTTTCACCTATTTCTAAAACTCGAGATTTAATTGTCCAATTTGACATGGAGAACCGAATTAATTAGTTACCCTTTTATTTGATTTGTATTTTTGTTGTTTAATTTTTCTTTAGCGAACTGCACATTTTGTGATGCGTATTCTTGTTTGCTTTGAAACATAAAATTCTCAACCTGGTAGGATGACAGTGACAACACACCTTTGGAAATTATTGCATCATTATTATTCAAAATCGCTTAATGAAAGTGTCAGTAATATTTTGTGGAGTAAACGAGAAGGCAGGACAAAGAAAATAAGATTTAAAAAAAGCATTTGTGGTCTAGAATAACAGACAAAAAATGTGAGGTAAAGCGAAATGTTTTTTTTTTCATATTATTCGCGTAAAAAAGCAACCCTCGACCAAACAAGTTTATTAGCGATGCTCATGGTTAAAATAAAATTTTCAGGAAATGGGACTTGCACTTAGATACTTGTACTTAAACTGATGTTATATCTTATTGTTGTTTGAATTTTGTATTTACGCATAGAAAATTTCCTCATCAAAATTTTATTTTCCATGCAGATTCATATATTCATAAATGTACGCATGTACACACACTGGACAATAGAAGTGTCACCCCCTGAATCAGAGTAATCAAAGTTATAATGCCTGGTCTACTTATAATGTGACTAATGAGTGGAATTGTGTTGTTAGTTTTTTGTGAAATTTGATGTTAATAAAATGATACCAGGAGCATATCATTCCACAGTCATTAATCTCCCCCCAAAGTATTGGTTCAGTAGGGGTGACACTTCTATTGTCCAGTGTGTGTAGATGTACTCGTTACAATGAATAAACTATTAAAAAACTGTTGCTTGGTAAATTTTTAAAAATCTTATCACACTTACTGTATGATAAAAACAGATATATAAGAAGTTATCAGGGAGGAAGAGTACGATGTAAGTTCCAGGCGCAAGTTTTGGCTTAGTGATAAAATGAAGAATAAATTGGACGTGCCCTTTGAGGGGCCATGCGATTCTATGTGGCTATTGTGGCTCTCCACCCGCATCCTTTCCTCTGAATTTTGTCTTTCCTTCCTCTTCCCTCACGTTGAAATTAAATTAACTCCAGAAATCGTTCTGATCAACTGGAATTCAACACAGAGCCAACAAGACAATATTGAAGTAAGTGGAGCTATTTTCTCTCTTTTTTTTCCTGGGAAAATAGACTGCTATCGATTGCTACTTTTGTCCACAATCCAAGTCAAAGAGACAGCGGCCCGGCGGCCTACCCTCGCTGAATAGAGCCCAGTTCAACAACGCACGCGTCCCGCTTTTGTCACGTGAAGTCCTAATTTCTAATATGACCCCTGATGTATAGCGAACAAATTATTTTCTCTTAAATTACATGCTTTTTATTGTTAAATTAAGACCGTAATTGTCTTGTTGTCATACGAGAGGCCGTCAAATGAGATGTTTAGTTGGATTTCCGAGAAAGTAGCAAGTGTGACAACGTGAGAAAGACAAATATGTTGGGGATGGTTGTGACGTTCTTCTTTCAGGCGTAGGCCCTAATATCCATGAAAGGGATGTCGATCCACGTGCAACTATATGTATTTGTATATGTATTTGGAGATCTTTTATGTCGCGTCCACTCCTATAGCGAAAGAATATAATATTTAAAGAAAAAGAAACAAGAAAAACGTGTTGCCAATAAAACAAAATCAAGAGGCCTTTAAGTAGCCAAAATACTTACCGCCTCTTTAATTGTAACCATTAAACCAATACATCTCATACGAGAATGACAAGAGGCTACATTGCACAGTTCAATCAAAAATAACAACAACAAAAAATCTCAATGAAAATGTGTTTAATACGCTCCAACCTCCAGCGAGTGCAGGTCTATTTGAACAACGCAATCTTTGTCAATCAGGCCATTAAGTTGCCACTAAATCACCAATCGTGCACGTCTCCAATACAAACACGCGCGTGCCCTCAGCCAATAGTCTTATTCACAGATCAAATTTGCTTAAAGTGCGAAACAATATGCTCTCCTTAATCGTGTAACTAGTGTTGTTCAAGCATAAATTACTGTTGATAGACCCCAGTTTGTCCCGTGGGATTCTTTAGATTAACTATGTGTGAGCTTTTCTATTATCTCGTCACCACAGAGGCATACATGACTTTGCTTAGGTGCTTGAACGGAACATGTACTAGTAAAGTGAAGTGCATGGAGAGAGAGAGAGAGAGAGAGAGAGAAAGAGAGAAAGTGGGGGATCTTAGAACCCCAAAATAATTTATCCAAAATTATGAATACATTCGTAAAAATGACATCGGCCTTTTCAAAAATAGGTGATCAATTTCGGTAAAATTTCTGTAAAATACTTCCTCTTTGGAGCTTGGCTCATACCGCCCACTAGGCTGGTGAAAGGCAGCCACAAGCACGCGATACACGGCAGACAAAGAAAACTCGACAAGATCGTGAGAATACAACCCAATCAAAATATCGCTTACTTCTGTCAACTAGTTGCATAAGACAGTAAACAACAGAGGCATATAGTTGTTTGAAATAACTAATGACCCACGGCAAAGGAGATTATAAAATCTATGCTTGGATTGTCCAATAGTATAATAACAGCGTCATGGGGATGTATGAATTTTAACGAGGCACGGCATATTAATACGTCATCCACGCGCACTGCACGAGCCACAGCGGTCTACCTCCGTGCAATTAGCTGAAAAATTGTGCCTTAGCACGACCGTGTATTGTTTCTCGTTCAATCACTGATCTCTCTCTCCCTTGCACCCCACCACTAATTTATTCATAGCAGAACTAATCTGCAGCTGGAAGTCCCCAAAATGTCTTTCACACACTTGTCGCTTTGTTTCTTTCGCAAGTCTCCCTTTTTTCCCTAATATGTTTTCCATGCACATTTTTTCGTCTTCTTTTTCTTTCTCTTTCGCCTCTGGCTTAAATATTAGGATTCTAATCATTGTCTTTTAGTTTTTTGTGGAACATAAATACTTACGACTGGGTGAATTGCCAACAGCAGAATTAGAGACAGAATTATACGGGTTAAAATAATTCGACCGAATTTAGACATACCATTAAATTAAAGCTTCGGTAAGATTACTAAAGAGCCACAAAACCAACTAAAACTCATGAAAACAAAATATGATAGTTTAGAAACTCTTCCACTCTTCACATGATTTCACATAATTTTATTTGTTTAATTATCTCTTTCTTCCTTTACCATTAATATATTTATTCATTCATTTGTCTATTTTTCGTGTGTTTTTGAAAATTGTTTTCTCACCGGAATCTGTAGATGTGTAATGATATCCTGAGTTGTCTTTTCTTTACCACGCCAATCTTTTGAGTTGCAACATTGACGGATGCACAGTATGATGCTATACGCTATGATAATACTATAAAACGGAAAGCAATTATGTGTATGTCTTGGTTGAATAACACGGTGACTGACATATTTGTAAAGTTGAATAAAAACTGTACAAAATGTTCTAAGTAATGAATTACACCAAGGAAAGATTTAAATAAGTAGATAGTAGTCAACATAAAAGGAGGATGACTATCCTGCTTAAAATAATAATAATAATAATAATTATAATAATAATAATTATAATAATAATAATAATAAAGGCTTATGTATGGAAGTAATGGCAGATTTTTTCTAGGCATATATATCCCGTTTAAAAATAAAATATAAAAGCAAAATGCTAACAATTTGTAAAATAAAACATGTTTTCCAAGATATTTCAAGCTATCAGCCTGAAATATTCTATCTTCTATGTATTCAAATCTCTCCGTCGATCTCTCACGAGCCCCTGAAGTGACACTTT